AGATTCGTAATCCGACGCTGTCTCGCATGACAATGTGCATTTCGGAGAGTTTTTGTCAGTCGCTGAGGAAGGGGGGGAGAGGTGATATTTTAAGTTGAATTAGAAAGATGAAGAGCAAGACACATTAGATGAAAAATGGGGAATACCGGAATTTTTGTAAATTATTTTGGGGTTCCGTCGACAGATGGCGACCTGCGCGCGCAGGGAGGTGAAGAGTCGCCGCCATGACGGATAACCTCACTGATGGGGATGAAATCAAGCTCGTGCGAACTTGAATGGGTGGCAAACAGTGTCACGTAATTCATTGGCGACAGACGGGTGGGGAAATGTCAAGCGAGAGAACATTAATATTCCAAGCCCGAAACTGGGAAGTAGCGTCGAGTGACAAATATCACTCAACCCCACCTCGCGATTCCTCAACAATTAACGATGATCTCTGTTGACTGTAATTTCCCTCAAACCATGAAACATGTCTCGTAATACCTGAAGATAAAGGGTCTCGCGAGATGATCCTTGGACTCCCCATGATGAGATTCGTAATCCGACGCTGTCTCGCATGACAATGTGCATTTCGGAGAGTTTTTGTCAGTCGCTGAGGAAGGGGGGGAGAGGTGATATTTTAAGTTGAATTAGAAAGATGAAGAGCAAGACACATTAGATGAAAAATGGGGAATACCGGAATTTTTGTAAATTATTTTGGGGTTCCGTCGACAGATGGCGACCTGCGCGCGCAGGGAGGTGAAGAGTCGCCGCCATGACGGATAACCTCACTGATGGGGATGAAATCAAGCTCGTGCGAACTTGAATGAGTGGCAAACAGTGTCACGTAATTCATTGGCGACAGACGGGTGGGGAAATGTCAAGCGAGAGAACATTAATATTCCAAGCCCGAAACTGGGAAGTAGCGTCGAGTGACAAATATCACTCAACCCCACCTCGCGATTCCTCAACAATTAACGATGATCTCTGTTGACTGCAATTTCCCTCAAAACATAAAACATGTCTCGTGATACTTGAAGATTAAGGCTCTCTCTAGATGATCCTTGGACTCCCCATGATGAGATTCGTAATCCGACGCTGTCTCGCATGACAATGTGCATTTCGGCGAGTTTTTGTCAGTCGCTGAGGAAGGGGGGGAGAGGTGATATTTTAAGTTGAATTAGAAAGATGAAGAGCAAGACACATTAGATGAAAAATGGGGAATACCGGAATTTTTGTAAATTATTTTGGGGTTCCGTCGACAGATGGCGACCTGCGCGCGCAGGGAGGTGAAGAGTCGCCGCCATGACGGATAACCTTACTGATGGGGATGAAATCAAGCTCGTGCGAACTTGAATGAGTGGCAAACAGTGTCACGTAATTCATTGGCGACAGACGGGTGGGGAAATGTCAAGCGAGAGAACATTAATATTCCAAGCCCGAAACTGGGAAGTAGCGTCGAGTGACAAATATCACTCAACCCCACCTCGCGATTCCTCAACAATTAACGATGATCTCTGTTGACAGTAATTTCCCTCAAACCATGAAACATGTCTCGTGATACCTGAAGATAAAGGGTCTCGCGAGATGATCCTTGTACTCCCCATGATGAGATTCGTAATCCGACGCTGACTGTCATGACAATGTGCGTTTCCGAGGGTTTTTGTCGGTCCTTTCAGCCCCTCAATGGTGGGATACAGGTACAAAATGGCCTCTCGTGACAACGGGTTGGGAGGAGTGGAGAATCCAGCGATGATTCTGTGAAATACGCGAGCCTAGCCAACCGCGAATATCCTTGATTAAACGGGAGAAAAAACGCTCCCGAGATACACTCCGCGAGCCTTTGGTTGGAGAGACTCGGTGTGCACACGATACACAGACTCATTTTATCTCCCTATTCTAACCGTACTTTTCTTTTTTTTAAAACGAAGTGGTATTTCAACCGCTATACCTCGACGGTTGAGTTTTCCCGCGCAGAATTGGATTGGTTGTACTTGGATATGATAAAAAAAGGAGACGGAAAAAATGAATAGAGTTTTTTTGAGGGGAGATGTATCATGAAAGGCATTGTTATTTCGAGCAAAAACAAACTCAATTGAATGAAAATTATTGATTCGGTACACGGAGAGAAATGTTCCGTAAAAATTACGGAACTCAAAATTCACTCACCGATTACGGAATCGACTCAGAAAATTTAAGTGACGGAATCGTAATTTTTCACAGGAGATTCAGATAAAAATTACGGAACGCTCCGGAAAATTTTCGTGACAGTTACGTAAAGTTTCCTACAGCCACATTTCGCTCAGGAATTACGGAAAAGATACGTAATTTTTATTGACTATTTCTCTCTGTGTTGTTTTTCCTCTTTTTCATCCGATGATGCATATCAAATGGTGGCTAAAATCAAGAGGAAACTTTACAAATCGTTTTTTTTTATGACGGGAAAATATGCCGTCAATAGTCCAGTTAATGCCACTACAAGCTTTCTGCGTCTTCAATGAGGGTTAAGTAATTATATTTTTTTCATAATTCGTTAACTCAACGCACCAAGTAGATTGTTAATGCTCTTCTATCATTTGGTATTGCTATTTCTTCAAGTGAATGAGTAATAATTAATAATAAATAAATGGAAAACATGCACCATGTGCTGGTTTCTGGCACTTGGGAAGGCTATATTTCAGTTATTGCCACCCTTCTGTGCTAGTTAATGCCCGGTGGAAAGAGACTGGGACCAAAAAGTGCCACTTTTCAATAGAACGTGGACATGATTTGAAATCGTGCGATTGAGGAATAGAAAATTGGTTTTGTGCTAAGATGAGGTGTTTGCACTTCCTCAATTATGAAAATATATTGAAGTAAACATCGTCGGAAATTAGATCGGAACATGGTTGCTATAAAGGAATTTAAACTCTTTGAGGCGTCACACTTACCTACAGGAATGCTCATGTAGATGTACTGGACCTCTGATGCTACGCTTTTCCTTCTAAACAATTTTTTTTCAATTTCAACTTATGAGGTGTTTATATAAATTCAACGTGTAGTGAAGCACTTTTCGCTAAAGTATCAAGCCTCACCGGCGCTTAGTATTACCCAGGGTTCGCGGCGGGGACGCAGCTGATATGAACCCCTCAAAGGCCAGAATTTGGGCCGGTTACCCCCTTCAAGTTATTTACCTAATTGAGTCCGTCTCAATTTTCTTGTTGATTTCAGTTCTTATTGTTGTTAAGGGGCGAAAAAAAACAGGTTCCTCAGCAGTCCTTACGCCCATGCACTTTCTGTCCCGGTAGGTAGTCGCGGATTCAAAATTTTTGGGTACTCAGCCCGAAACATTAGCACTGCAATTGTTATTAACCGTTATCTATCGTAAACTATTACAGATACAGAAAAAAAGTTGAATCATAAAATGTTCCTCTAGCTATTTTTAATAAATTATGTTTTTTATGAAATTTCGATACATCGAACGCTATCGAACATATGAGCGCAGAAAGAGTCGCACACTTAGGTAAGCCCGTTCAACAGTGCATGAGGCGCGCGCTCTCTGTGGTATGAGCCATCCGCGTCCAACTTACCGTTTCCATTTCATATTGAGGGGGATGTTCTATATTCTGCTTCTATTAGTCTGGTTGTGGCTAGAACATCTGGAATACAATAATTGAAAAAAAACAAGACAATCCACAAACCTCGAATGTTTAAAGTTTTATATTTAAAATATTCTGGCATGTGCCTGAGATTACACACACTGTAAAAAATGACTCTAATTTTCACATACTTTTATCCCACTCATGCACCTCAAATTTATGTTCATCCTCATTCAATATGGGGATATAATTTTCATGTACCGGTACGTATAATTAACTAACGTCAGTCAAAAATTACTATACTGTGTGCAAATAATCATGGACACCCTAACTTTTGCCGACAAGTCCACTGATTTTCAATTTTATACAATTGATCATCATCGATGATGAGCCAAAATTTATGCTGGAAACTGGAGCGTTCAGGAAGTTATGACATCACCATCCCCGCCCTGCGTATATTTTTAATAATGTTTATCAAACAAACATAAATAAAAAATTATGGAATTTATCACATAATAAAGTTCTTCGAGCCTAAACAATTCATTTCAATAATTTCTTCATAAAAAATGTATAAAATGCCCCTAATCATCTCGAACTTCATTAATTAATTGCAATAACGATTTCAAGACATTGAAATGACGAACATTATTTTCCCAGTTGGATAATTACCTTTATATTATCACGATGACGAACAAAAATATTAAAAATGTCACAAGAGTGACTCGACGATTTTCGATTCCACCCCTGAACGTTCATAAAGAAGTGGAAGTGTAGGAATTAAGATGTGTCACGCCTAGGTATTGTTCTCACTCGGACAAACAAGCCCTAAATACTGCACAATACGCGGTCTCGATGGTTTTGTCGTTGTCAGAGGGGGAAATAAGGGATGAAGTAACACCCCTTCATTTCAATTCTGGGTTACGCAAGGGGGAACAGGGGGTTAATCGTGGATGACGGCAGTACGAAACAATGCACCTGGCATTTTCGGGGGTGTGTGGTCCAAAAAAGGGTGTCGGGGGAGTAAATTTCAGAAGGGAGCACGCACTGAATGTCACTGCGGTGATGTATTGCGAGGAGCAGAGAAATTGTCTGTTCCCCTTTTGATACTAATGGAAATTCCACGAATTTTCACCGTCCACATCTTTTCCCATTCTGAGACCTGTCCCGAAAGTAAAGATTGATAAACTACAAGGATTTTTAAAAAGTGATAGACTGATTTTGCTTCATTTTTCAATTTATCAACATCCTTTGTTCACATATTTTTCGAGTTTTTTATCGACTGAAGGAAAGGTAGGGATTTCTGGAAATGGTAGGAATCACTGGATAAGTTATCGACTGATGGTAACTTACTGTCAGTCGGTACTTTATTGAAAGATGCTGCAAATGATGCAGGAGAGTGCAAATTTGACGTCAACAATGCAAGGTCATTCGGTGTCAGTAATTTCTGTGATGCTATTGGTGTTAGTCTGTTTATCAATTCTACCTCCGTCCAATTCAGGATGACGAACAAATTGAATATTTTGAAGATACTATTTTTCCTGAATCTAGTCAATTTTCAATGGGTGTCAGGGTACTATCCTGTTGTGATTATTCATGGGGTGCTCACAGGTAGCGATAGCATGGAGGTCATCAGCAATCGGATACAGGAAGTAGGTTATCTATTATCTTCTGTAATCTAGAATGTCACTGATTTTTAATGTAAAAAATTCCATTATATGTTAAAGCAGATGATGAACTTGTTGGAATAATTGCAAATTTTTTGGATTATTGACGCTGTATTGTTGCTTACGTCTTTCAAGAATCTTAATCTTTATGGGAAACAAAGAAATCATTTCGATTGAATTGATTTCCCAATAATTTGGTCATTTAAATCATCACATTGTTTGTTTTTAAATTGTTTTGATCCATTTACTGTAGCAGGGGGTTGTAGAAAAAGTGAAAGGATTATAATCTCTTCTATAACAATGAATAAGTCGAATATTTAAAGTTGAAATTATAAGAAAAATCCATGATATTCAATATAATTTTTCAAATTTTCGAAAAATAATCGCATGTTTTCAAAAAATGAAAATAATGTTCATCTATTGCATGTCCACGTATCACCAAATTCTACAAAAAAACCTAACGCATGAACTAAAAAAATATATTAAATTTCTTTTGTAACTCTATTGCAAATCTGGTATTCTATCGCAAATTTGACTGTGTCTTTGCTGATTTATACAAAAAATTTTTTCATTTTGCCATGCGATTTTTGAACGATTATTCATGAAAAAAAATTTGGTAGATGTTGACTTTCCTACACAATTTATTTTCTTGTGATTTTGATATAAAAATTCGTGGGTGTGACTTTTCAATTACTTTCCGCATTTCGTAATGAGACAGAAAATAAAATATAGTGAAAAAAAATCAAAAGAATTATCCCCAAGTTTTTTTGCCGATAAAATAACAAGAAAATCAGTCATGTAGAAAAATACAAATCTATGGACGTTTTTCTATTAAATATCTGTCGAAAAATCGGTGGGAACGGCTGTAACTTTTGCGAGAGAATTTCAATAGAATTCTTATAGTGTTCCAATGGAAATTCAATAAAATGTCCCAGTAAAAGCGCTCGGTTTTTCTATAAAACTTTTTGGCATTCCTACCTACAGCCGTTGTGACAAAAAATATTATTCGTCACACAGCCGAAAAAAACTTTTCTAATGATGAAATATCCTTTATAGTCGCTCAGTCGCATTTTATTTCCCCTTAATTGCTTTCTCGCCAGCGTGAAGACTTCCCCACTCCCTTCCCCTCTCTACTCCCGAATGTAAACACATTGATATTTTCTTACATGCGCCATTGTTTCGCCTTTTTGTCGTGTTGAATCAATTTATTTATGCACAAAAAAGAAATTTCCCACCCAAACTTGATAATTAAGTCAGAAAATTATCATGTAAAACCGTTTAAGTCGATTTTGGCTATTGGTCATTTTTTCGAAACTTTAAGAAAAAAACTCTGTAGCTCAAAAATTAAAGGCCCTGGACTATTTTGAACATTTTAAACGTGTGCCGGGTAGACGGACATTAAACAATCAATTTTTTTGCGCCAATTATTCGTTTTTAGACACATATAATCGACTTTCAATGCATGAGAAATCTCACTCCAACAGGCGGCGACTTTTAACTCGTCGTAGTCTTCCCTTAATTTAGCAGAAGATACCACATCCCATTCAAGTAACTCTCGAATAACTGCAAACTGGTCATCCCCTCAATCACTGGATTAATTGTATCGATTGTTGTACTTATCTCGCAGATGCATCCCGGAACGGAGGTGTATAACACCCCGCGATACGCTGGATGGAGCAGTTTAGAGCCCATGTGGCGTCAGATAGAGGAAATTGGTGAGGATGTGATGGCTATTGCTGCCGCGTTTCCGGAGGGCATCAATCTCCTGGGGTACAGCCAGGGAGGATTGATAGCCAGAGCTATTCTCCAGAGATTCCCCAATCATAATGTCAGAAACTTCATTTCCTTGAGCTCACCACAAGCTGGAGAGTACGGAAGTATGTTCAATCATGGGATCTAGACAGGGTGTCAATCGTCCATCAATTGAAAATCGAATCATATTTCTTTCATACTGTTTTATTTTGTTCTTTTTTAGCAAAGTTTCTGCATTTGTTCTTCCCTAATTTAGTGTGTGAAACTGCGTATGAATTGTTTTACTCGAGAATTGGACAACACACTAGTGTTGGGAATTACTGGAACGATCCGTATCACCAGGTAAGATTCATTCACATTGTCAATTAATATTTTTAGAAAATAAAATTGTAGTTTCCAAAACCAAGTTAAGGGGAGACTACTATGAGTTTTAAAGGTCGCGCGCGATTGGAGTGAGATTTCTCATACATTGAAGATCGATTATATAGGTCTGAAAACGAATGATTAGTGCAAAAAAATTAATTGTTTATTGTTCGTTCGTCCCACACACGCTTAAAATGTTAAAAAAAACGTTCAGGACCTCCAATTTTTGAGCTACAGAGGTTACTTTTTTCAAAATTTTTGAAAAAATGGGTGCAATTCGCGATGTTGACTGGGAGTGAGGCGGCGCTGATGCTTCAACATGGCTGACATAAAACGTTTCGAATGAAATCAACAAAAGTGGTATTAGGGGTAGCTTCGCATTGATATACACAATTGAAGCTTGTCTCTGATTCGATTAATTATGCTCTTCAATAACAAATGGGTTTTTACTCCATTGATCCCCTTTGGACCTGAAAGTGTGACTGAAAATTTTCAATTCGAAAATTTTATGTCAGTCATCTTTAATTATAAGCTTCAGTGACGCCATTCGTCAATTTAACATCGCGAATAATAATTACGAATTTGTTTTCCGATAATCGACTTCTACATAGCTAATTTCGTTTTGTTTACTATGAAAATTTGCGCCAACCATGTAAAATAGGTAGAAAAATAATCCTTAAAATATTTAAAATATATTCTCGATTCTTTCAGAAACATTTTTCTGGCCATTTTACATGAATGGTGCAATTTGTTATTAAAAATATAACAAAATTAGTTGTGTAGGAGTTGAATTTCAAAAAACTGATTCGTAATTGTGATTATACACATTTTTTCAAAAATTTTGAAATAAAAGAAACCTCTGTAGCTCAAAAATTGGAAGCCCTTGAGTATTTTCAACTTTTTAAGCGTCTGCGGAGCAAACGAACAATAAACAATCAATTTTTTGCACTGATTATTCATTTTTAGATATATTTAATCGATCTTCAATACATGAAAAATCGCATTCTAATATCCTGCGACTTTTAAAACTCATAGTAATCTCCCCTTAATGATTCTAAGGAACTCATGGATTCAAAAAAGGCATAATGTCTGGAAGGCTGAAAATAAGAAATTACTTATTCAATTTCAAGTGGAAAATCGAAAAAAATTTATAACCAAAAGTCTACCACGGAGATTCTCAAATTAAGAACCTTTGCGTGGTTAGACTATGAAAACCCGACAGGGATAAAGTTGTAGAAGATTTGTACATTACTTTTTATTGAGTCAATTTCTTGAAAATCGTCAAAACGACTGTTAGAGGGTTAGCCCATGGTAAAAGGGAAGTGCAAATCTCACCCAAAGCGTTTGTACCTCCCCGATGCCGCGTATAAGACAAATGAAGAAAATTATGTGAAGAACAAAGGATTTATAAACATGACTAAACTCATTTTTGAACCTGAATGTTCTTATTCGAAATTCTTTCCTGAAATATTCATATTCGCTATTCGATTTGGCACGTTTCACCACTTCGCTAAAAGCCTTGCGTTCGCTATTGCCTTGTTCTCATTTCCTAACAATTTTTTGATGATCATTCTGACGAGACATCTTTTTCTGTCTAGGAATTATATTTTCGATACAGTAAATTTCTCCCACTCGTGAATGGCGAGGAGCAATCACTAAATAGTACTCAGTTTAAAAGCGGCCTGACCAAGTTGAATAAAATGGTGTTGATCGGAGGTCCCGACGACGGAGTGATAACCCCTTGGCAAAGTAGTCAATTCGGTTATTTCGATAGTAACAACACTGTACTGGACATGAGAAACAGGCCTATCTACAAAACCGACGCAATCGGCCTCAAAACACTAGATAAAGCCAAAAAAATCATCACTCATACTGTGCCAGGGATCTCCCACTTCATGTGGCATAAGAACGAAACCATCACTGATCTTTACATTCTACCGTATTTAGATTAAACCACTAATGAATGAATAGTTCAATTCAGTCGAAATTATAAATAATCAATCAACGAGGTAAAAGACTGATCGGCGCAGCTAGCCATGACGATTTGCTACCGAATTTTTGGATTTTAATTTAAGCAAGAATATTCGACAGCTCATCATTTCGAACTAAGAATTAAATTATTGTGCAAATAATGAATAAATTAAGTGGAATCTTGACAATTCAACGTTTCTTTTTTTCCAACGTTCTAAATGACGGTCCAAACTTCCATGTTTTATCAGTCAACCTCCTTCTGATAACAATAACAAGCTTTGTTGCTAATGACTAAAGACTATTCTTGACTTTTATGCGTGCAACCAAACCGTGAATTATAACAAAAGAGGGAAAAAAGTGGATACTCATCTCTGTTACTATGTTATGCCCCAGATTTGGTCGATTGTCTTATTGTTGAATATGTGGACATACAGCGTTGTCAGCGTGACACTTGCCGGTGTAGCTGGATTATGCTGACCAAGCAATGAAATATAAACAATCAATGTATAGTGATGCCGTCGAGACTAGTCGAGAATGATATTGAAGAGATCACGGTCTGGAAAAACATCGAAAGTTTTGGAATCGTCGCAACCGCGAAAGACATTGCATCCTTGCATCTCGTCACAATTCCGGGAGGATTTATCTTGCCTGGATCTCGAGATTTTCGGTTTTTTAAGGGTGCCAAGTGAATTTGGCGATGACCTTGAAAATTGACATTCACCAACAAAGTTATAATTTTTTTAATTAATGGTATTAGAGAGATGGTGAACATCGGTGACAATTTTAAAATGTTAGAACTTGTGGATATTGAGAAATTAAATAAACAAAATCAGTCTTATACACGGCCTCTTATGGAGTTTTGATTAAATTGAACGTTTCAACCGCCTAGGAACTCAAGAAAAATTTAAAAAAA